AACCCTCGACCCGCAGATTGCGAGTCGAGCACCCTAACCACCGGGCCATAAAGTCACACACAAAGTGTTATAGCTGTTCCTAATTCTGAAGTAACGGGGTATAAGAATAGAAACTAGTCAGTCAACAGTACTAACAGTACCCACCACAAACTTTTGGATCATCAGTCAACAGTACCAACCACAAACTTTTGGATCATCAGTCAACAGTACCAACCACAAACTCTTGGATCATCAGTCAACAGTACCCACCACAAACTCTTGGATCATCAGTCAACAGTACTCACCACAAACTCTTGGATCATCAGTCAACAGTACCCACCACAAACTCTTGGATCACTCTTGTCTAAACGAATAGCTGGATTTGGTCGTCCCTTTTATAGCGAGGGGCGTGTTTTTTTTGTTTTTGGGTAACGGGACACATCATCGGATTCACAGACTGGGCACATTGAACAATGGGCTACGCCCAGCCAAACACGTTAAAACCCCCTTTTTTTTTCTATATCTGTAAATTTTATTGACTGTAAAATATGTTCTGGTGGTGGTTATTGGTATTACAGAAACTTTTGTGGGCACAGTACGTATAGCCTATTGTATAGCTTTTTGTTTAACAATCAAACAAGTTTCAGAGTTATATATTGTCGATTTACTCCCGAAATTCAACGCAATATAGTTACAGTTATTGGACGATAATAAAGAAACCAACGCAATATAGTTACAGTTATTGGACGATAATAATGAAACCAACGCAATATAGTTACAGTTATTGGACGATAATAAAAAAAACAACGCAATATAGTTACAGTTATTGGACGATAATAAAGAAATCAACGCAGTATAGTTACAGTTACTGGACGATAATAAGAGACATAAACGCAATATAGTTACAGTTATTGGACAATAATAAAGACATCAACGCAATATAGTTACAGTTACTGGACGATAATAAGAGACATAAACGCAATATAGTTACAGTTATTGGACAATAATAAAGACATCAACGCAATATAGTTACAGTTATTGGACGATAATAAAGAAACCAACGCAATATAGTTACAGTTATTGGACGATAATAAAGAAACCAACGCAATATAGTTACAGTTATTGGACGATAATAAAGAAACCAACGCAATATAGTTATAGTTATTGGACGATAATAAAGAAACCAACGCAATATAGTTACAGTTATTGGACGATAATAAAGAAACCAACGCAATATAGTTACAGTTATTGGACGATAATAAAGAAACCAACGCAATATAATTACAGTTATTGGACGATATTTTACTCGCCGGATAAAAATAAAAAGAATTACTTTTTATTTCAGCGCCAACATTTCGCGGCTTCGTTAGGTCTAATGGTAGAAGAACCAACTAACTGAAGTACCAGAAAAGTCTGAAACAAAGATTCACTAACTTACGTGTGCTATTCTTTTTAAACGTACGACTTGTGTTGTATCCTGGTCCATTGGCATAACCAAGCACCGTGTATTCCACCTTTTCATCCCTTGATACATAAGTACCTACAAATAATATACACAATATTAGGCATCAGAACACCAGAGAGTCAACCTACGACGCAAAGCAGGGAGGGAGTCAGTTTACAGCACAAAGCAGGGGGTCGGTCTACGACACAAAGTACGAAATAGGCCTACGACACAAAGTAGGAAGTCAGCCTACGATACAAAGCAGGGAGTCAGTTTACAGCACAAAGCAGGAAGTCGGCCTACGACACAAAGTATGGAGTAGGCCTACGATACAAAGCAGGTAGTCAGTTTACAGCACAAAGCAGCGAGTCAGCCTACAATACAAAGTACGAAGTAGGCCTACGGCACGAAGCAGGGAGTCAGCCTACGACACAAAGCAGGGGGTCAGTTTATAGCACAAAGCAGGGAGTCAGTTTATAGCACAAAGCAGCGAGTCAGCCTACAATACAAAGTACGAAGTAGGCCTACGGCACAAAGCAGGGAGTCAGCCTACGACACAAAGCAGGGAGTCAGCCTACGATACAAAACAGGGAGTTAGTTTATCGTACAAAGCAGGGAGTCAGTTTACAGCACAAAGCAGCGAGTCAGCCTATGACACAAAATACGAAGTAGGCCTACGACACGAAGCAGGGAGTCATAAATTTGGAAAGACTCATGATTTTGTCAATGTTGAGCTGAGTTTTCAGTTTAAAATAAAAGCTCACTTTGAACAGATATTTATTCTAAAATGAATATTGGAGCTGAAGATAGAGAAGTTGAGATAAAAAAAGACATTTAAGCTTTCACTATGCTGCTTCTTTTCCCATTCATGTCAGTGTGTGTATTCTGAACCTATTTTAACATAGAAGAACAGTCAAAAATATTTTAAACATTTTTATTCTCCAGAAACATAAAAACACTTCTTTTCTATGTGTTTTTTCACTAGCTTGCCTCATTAAAAAGATGCGCGCGCGCACGTAAATAAGATAAGTAATAATACCCAGGTGTACACCCTGAGGGTCCACTTAGTATTTTCTAATGTAAGGAACCACTTCTTTTCTATGTGGTTTTTTGCTAGCTTGCCTCATTAAAAAGATGCGCACGCGAATGCGCGTACGCACGTGGATAAGATGAGTAATAATGCCCACGTGCACACCCTCAGAATCCACATAGTATGGGTGCAATATTTCAGGTTTCTAGGTTCTTTCTTTTTGAAGCTATGGCAGTCACACGCCCTTTTATTATTATAGATGCATTTCTTTTCATCGCCGAAACGTTAATTTTAGCGAAGAAACGACGAAGGGCATTGAAATACGAAGTTGAATAGTGGATACTGAAACAAGGAGAGCAAAGTCGTCAACTTTGAAATAGGTGTCGGGATGTCTCAATGTTGAAAGCAAGACCTCCGAGTTTATGTTTTTCCCGCTTTGTGCTTAATTACCACAAGGTAAGTTTGGTAATGCTGATGGGAAAATTATTACACGTGGCTTTGCAACATCAATTCCCACGTCACAAATTTAGTGTTGCTTTCCTAAAATCACGACGTTGTAACAACTACACTTAAAATACTTCGGTTTGTATAAATGTTATACTTCAATCACTGAAGCTCAAGTAACAAACGCAGAATAGCCATCCATTAGAATTATCGACCAGGAAGAGGGTAATCAGTTAGCATCACCCACCGTCTATGCAGCTACTATTGTAACCGGATATTAGGTCTGACAGTCACAATTATAACGCTCGTATGGCTAAAATAGCAAAATGTGCTCAGTGCTATAATGCGTCTCGAACCTTGGACTTTGCAATCCTAAACAAACATGATAGAGATGCGTGCTAGGCGGACGTGCCACTCTTAACACGCTTGCCATTGGGTTCCCATTCTATGCTCTACAGGTACCCCATCCAAAGTCCGGAATGTTTGGGTTGGCACCTGAGCCATGTCGGATTTTCCGATTTGGGGGTCATTCGGCCTGGCATGTTCAGATGATATAAATAAAGTTTGAAATACATACATAAAGGTTATTTACTTACTTTTTGGACATTTTCACGATGAATAAAGGGGTAAAAATTCAAGTTAACACAGAGAGAAGGCTACACAACCATAAGGCAGGTTTGAATTGAGACCATTTGTACTGCATCGACGACCCCCCCAACAAAGCGGCTATACCTGTATTTAATCTAAAATTAAGCCCAAAAGATATTTTTACTTACTTATTTGTACAATAATTCTTTGTGCAGTTTTCAGTAATTTCAACTCGAAAGTGTCTGGGTATAAGGTATTTCTCCAAACTAATGGAACATTCCGGTTTTGGGGTCGCCGGATTTTTGATCGTCTACCTGTACCTGTTTTTATCTAACACTTTGCCGTTTCATTTTTTTTTTTTTTTACTATTATACGATTTGTACATAAAAGATTCCGGGATTTAAGACAAAACGTATTTTTTGCATACCTAAAATATTATTCCCTCTCAATGGATAACCACTTATGGTCATCGTGTGGGAATGGTCAGCAGTAACGAGAAGTAAAGTATCTTCTCTGTTGGTCATCTCTAGTGCTAGCTTAATTGCTTTGTCAAACGACACAACTTCTTCTAACGCCCTTTTGGCCATTCCATCATGGTGTCCGTGGTCAATACGACCCCCTGTACGAAAAATAAATAAACCAAGTAAAATTAACTTGTACAAATATTTCAACATTTATGTCTATACTCGTTTGTTTGTAATTAAGCACAAAGCTACACAACGGGCTATCTGTGCTCTGCCCACCACGGGTATCGAAACCCGGATTCTAGCGTTGTAAGTCCGCAGACTTACCGCTGTGCCACTGGAGTCCTCGTCCGTTGGACGGGTGAAATAAAAACTCGTTCGTAACCAAGGATAGGTAAAAATAATCTTCTGTTTATTTTCTTAACATAATAAACATTAAAAGTGCAATAAAAATACATCAAGGTACCAATACTGAAAAGAAAGATATACTTGTTCTCAAGAATTCTATCAGTACGAAATTAGATGGGGGTTAAACCCCCTTCGTGGCCTTACTCCTGTATCAAGTTGTACTGATTTGGTAGATTTTTCCGAATTACACATAGATTTGAATACGAATTATTCAAGTCTGCCTGAAGTAATCTATTACACAAGTTATTCCATTAGTGAATTTAACGAAAGGAAATTCTCCCTAGCGGACAAAGGAATAACTATAAACGAATGCCATTAGTTCCCTCATTTGTAAACCTCAAACTCTTATCATCCAGTTTACACACACACAATTTATTTTAAACAAATTCAATATTTTGTCCATGCAAAAGCCTCTTTAATTATTTAAGTATTTTAGTTGTGAACATAAAAAAAATCTATAACAATTACTTTCAAATTCAGATATTTAGATGTAAGTACTGACTCATCTTTTGCATTACCTTCTACGAGAAGGAAGTAGCCTTTGGAGTTTTTACTCAGTATCTGAATAGCTTTCTTCGTCATGTCAGTAATGGAGGGTTCAGAATTACTCGTGACGCGTTCAAACTCGTACTGCATATGGCTGTATTCAAACAGACCTGAAAAGAAGAAGTAGTTAACTTACTGTACTCTAATTAGATTATTATTTTATCTCGAAATTAGGGCCCCGGCAAGGCCAGGTGGTTAGGGAGCTCGATTCGCAATCTGAGGGTCGCGGGTTCAAATCCCCGTCACGCCAAACATGCTTTCAGCCGTGGGGGCGTTCTAATGTGACGGTCGATCCCACTATTCGTTGGTAAAAGAGTAGCCCAAGAGTTGGCAGTGAGTGGTGTTGACTAGCTGTCTTTCTTCTAGTTTATCACTGCTAAATTAGGGACGTCTAGCGCAAATAGCCCTCGTGTAGCTTTGCGCAAAATCCATAACAAACAAACAAACTCGAATTTGGTATAGACAAAGACTTCGATTGGGTGCAAAGTTTTTATGAAACATTATTTGAATTAAATTAGTAGAACCGTACATGATCAGGACATAAGTGCTTAAAATTGTAGAATGAAATTCAATATACACGGTGGGGCAAAAAAAATGACAAAAGTCCACTTAAGTTGGCTGTATAATAACTATTGCCCCAGCCATAATAAATAAGGTTTAGCATTTAGTGTGAAAGTGTAATAAATTTTATGAATAATAAAAACTGCCCCAAATAGTACACAACATTACTTATATAGTGTGTTATGTCAGCTTGTTTTTGTTTTTAAATTTCGCGCTAAACTACTCGATGGCTAATTGCACTATCTGTCCCCAATTTTGAAGTGATAAACCAGGAGGAAGGCAGTTAGTTAACATCACCCACTGCGAACTCTTGGGCTACTCTTTACCAACAAATTGTGCGATTGACCGTCACATTATAATGCCTCCATGGCTGAAAGAGCGAGCATGTTCAAGAAGAAGATTCGAAGCCGAAACTACCAGATTGTAGGTCGAGTGCCCTAACCACCAGGTCATGCTAGGTCTACGTGGAATGTAACTAAACTTGAGTAACCTGAAGTACACATACTGTCTGGTGTCATCTTTTTTTTTCTCTGACAACCATGGAGCTAATACAAATAGAAAATAAAACAATATATATATTTTTTTATTAAATATTGCTTATGAAACAACTTATGGTGTAAACTTGCTTATATATATATATTAACATTTCTTATGAAACAACTTATGGTATAAACTTGCAACTTATGGTGTAAACTTGCTTATATATATTTTTTAACATTTCTTATGAAACAACTTATGGTATAAACTTGCAACTTATGGCGTAAACTTGCTTATATATTTTTTTTAACATTTCCTATGAAACGACTTATGATATAAACTTGCAACTTATGGTGTAAATTTGCTTATATATATTTTTTAACATTTCCTATGAAACAACTTATGGTATAAACTTGCAACTTATGGTGTAAACTTGCTTATATATGTATATATTTTAACATTTCCTATGAAACAACTTATGGTATAAACTGGCAACTTATGGTGTAAACTTGCTTATATATATTTTTTAACATTTCTTATGAAACAACTTATGGTATAAACTTGCAACTTATAGTGTAAACTTGCTTATATACATTTTTTTAATATTTCCTATGAAACAACTTGTGGTGTAAACTTGCTTATATATTTTTTAACATTTCTTATGAAACAACTTGTGGTGTAAACGTGCTATGATGTTGAAAAATGAAATGCGGATTGATTAACATTAGCTTTTACCATTTTAAATAGTTTTATTTTCCAAGTAGGTGAAAGTTAGACCTGAAAACCACATTCTATTATTGAACAGTTAAAACATGTTTAATGTTTCACTCCCCCTGCTGGCTTATTGGTAAGTTTTAGATATCATCAGGTGAACGACATAGCTGTGTCAACGAAAACCACCTGAAATCCATGCCCAAATATAACATTAAATGTTTATTTATTTTCTGATTTACTTAAACATTGTAATTTTTTAAGTAATAAAATGTCGTAAAATACAATACGCTTTATGTAAAATAAATAATAATAAATATGATTATTATTTACAAATAAAATTAGAAAAAAATACAGTATTTAAAATAAAATAAATAATATTTTTTTATATTGTCAATTTTAAACTTAAATCTACTTCAAGCATACTAACTGAATTTTGTTTTGTAATTAAGCTTAAAAAACAACTAAAAATTGCAACTAAACATCAGTTTACTGAAGACAGGATCGACATTTAAAAAGCGATTAAATAAATTATTTAATTAAAATAATCATTCTTTTGTTTTTTAGGGAGATTAAACTTCGCCAGATGTCAGCACTTACCGTAATAAAAATTGTTGCTATCTGTTGTCAGAGAATTTCAATGATATTATTCTAGTTCAGTGTATTCTAATATCTCCTGCAAGGGTTCTGTTTTTCCAGATTGTTCAGATTAATCAGAAAGCCTTAATAATATCAGAATACTGATCTGCTTCTTTATGTTTAACCGTGTAATGTATTTCTTAAAGTTCCTTGTTGTCACTGTGTTAAATAGTATGATTTTCCTCCCGATTCGGATTCGACAGTGTTCAACAAAGGACTCGGTTATTACACAGACATTGCATTTCCAGTTTAATTGTACATAAAAGTTGTCTCGTTACATCTAATTTAATTCTAGTAGTTTTGTTTGTTGATGATGTTAAGTTACTCATTGGCTGATCTCCTTCTGACTTGGTCTTTTAGCTCAAGTTAGTATAAGGTGCCACTAATGTTCTTAATGCTTTATTCCCTACAGGTATCGAAACCCGGTTGTTAGAGTTATAAACACTCAATATTTTAAATAACCATACCTTTTTTTTATAATATATGGTTTCAAGATAACAGAATAATTAGTATGGATACTTGAAAAACAAGCTAATGAGAAGCAGCTAAAGAAAACAAAACAAATCAGACGTTTAGATACAGTCTTAATATTTAGATCACAAACAAATACCTGATTATGTTTGGATTAGTCTTATTGACATTTAGATACAGTCTTAATCTTTAGATCACAAATAAATACCTGATTATGTTTGGATTAGTCTTATTGACATTTAGATACAGTCTTAATCTTTAGATCACAAACAAATAACCGATTATGCTTGGATTAGTCTTATTGACGTTTAGATACAGTCTTAATCTTTAGATCACAAACAAATACCTGATTATGTTTGGATTAGTCTTATTGACATTTAGATACAGTCTCAATCTTTAGATCACAAACAAATAGCCGATTATGTCTGGATTAGTCTTACTGACGTTCAGATACAGTTTCTTGGCTTGGACTTGTTTCACAAATATTAATCTTCAAATAACAAACAAATAGCCGATTATGTCTGGATTAGGCTTACCTAACAAGTAATCGGTTTCATCAGCTGTGACGTTCTCAAATCCTTCCAGATTATGTACATAATTGACCTTTGAAGAAATATTATTCTTATGATCTAGCCACTCATTTACTAGATTTTTCCCGTCTTTTCTCTTTCCCATTTCTTTACTCTCAACATCAGGTTCGTTGTTTGGAAAGAACGATTGGCGTCCTCCACCTAAGATAACCTATATTAGGAAAAAAAGATCACTCTGTACTGCAGTCTGTGAAATAACACGAGTGATTTATTACCACATCACCAACTTTAAACCCGAATACACCCTCCCCCCACCCCCTCCACACGTATTGGTTAAATAGTCAGACCGGAAACCTCCATGATTCATACACAGCCATTCCTACTTTAGACTTGCTGACCAGAAGAAGGACAACGAATAGAACCCTGACGGTTCGAACCTTGGACTTCCCGATTCGCAGCCCGTCCACTTAACCATAAGGTCATGCCCGACCAGATGAGTTAATGTTGAAGTATTGTTTGTTTATTGTTAACCGCAAAGCTACACAATGAACTATCTATGATGTGCCCACCATGGGCATTGAAACCCAGTTTTTAGCATTATAAGCCTTCAGACTTGTCGCCGAGATGGTTAGGGTGCTTGACTCGCAATCTGAGGGTCGCGGGTTCGACTCCTCGGCACACCAAACATGCTCGCCCTGTCAGCCGTGGGGGTGTTATAATGTGACGTTCAATCCCACTATTCGTTGGTAAAAGAGTAGCCCAAGAATTGGCGGTGGGTGGTGATGACTAGCTGCCTTCCCTCTAGTCTTTCACTGCTAAATTAGGGACTGCTAGCGTAAATAGCCCTCGTGTAGCTTTGCGCGAAATTCAAAACAAACCACTGTTTGGAGAGATACTAAAATATAAGGGTTAAGTACTGTCTAAGGGTTAAGTACTGTCATAGAGGAATACGCTGAGGATTCTACTTTTTCTTCATATAATTTTTCGACATGTAAGTTTTCAAATAAAAGTTGATCGAGGGGGGAAAGTTTGTAGTTTAGCACAAACCTGCACGATGGACTATCTGTGCTCTGACCACCACGGGTATCGAAACCCGGTTTCTAGCGTTGTAAGTCCACAGACATCCCGCTGTGTTATCGGGAGGCAATAGAGGGGGGGGGGGAGAACGAACAAACTAGTGTTGTTGCTCCCGAAAATTGGTGTTAACATTTTTCTCTATTATTACAACGTTTATCGACAACAGAATATCCTTCAAGTTTACGGTGTTTATAATAGATAGATATCAACCAATCGCATGATGACAGCATGCTTTGCTTTGCAGTACAAATAACTATGCTTCAAAGTAGAGGCAGGTTTTCCTGTGAGACAGCTGTAAGTTTACGGATTTACAAAGCTAAAATCATGGGTTCGATTCCCCTCGGTGGACACAGCAGAGGCGGGTCCTCATGTGGGACAGCTGTAAGTCTACGGATTTACAAAGCTAAAATCATGGGTTCGATTCCCCTCGGTGGACACAGCAGAGGCGGGTCCTCATGTGGGACAGCTGTAAGTCTACGGATTTACAAAGCTAAAATCACGGGTTCGAACCACCTCGGTGGACACAGCAGAGGAGGGTCCTCATGTGGAACAGCTGTAAGTTTACGGATTTACAAAGCTAAAATCATGGGTTCGATTCCCCTCGGTGGACACAGCAGAGGAGGGTCCTCATGTGGAACAGCTGTAAGTTTACGGATTTACAAAGCTAAAATCACGGGTTCGAACCCCCTCGGTGGACACAGCAGAGGCGGGTCCTCATGTGGGACAGCTGTAAGTTTACGGATTTACAAAACTAAGATCAGGGGTTCGATTCTCCTCGGTGAACGCAACAAATAGTTCGATGCGACTTTGCTATAAAAAACACACACGCACAGACACTGGCGGATGCACATGATACTACACACGTCTAGCACGTGACGTCACAAAACTTAATTTTTCATTTATTACCACCATCAGCCAGTCTGTAAAAAAAAAAATATTTTTTCCCGGCTAAAGTTTGGTTTGGCTACACAATGGGATATCTGTGCTATGCTCACCACGGGTATCGAAACTCAGGTTTTAACGTTGTAAGCGTACAAACTTAACGCTGAGCTACTGGGGAGGGGAGGCTTTAACGGTCATAAGCATTTCATATCAATACAATATTTGCATGTTGTTAGTTTTAGTTCCGTGATAAGCTGTGAAACTTGTAATATGTCACCCAAGACGAATGAAAAAACTCGAGAATCAATATGACGGAATAAACTATAAACATGTGACTTTTTTCACGCCAGTACAAGTCTAGAAATACACACACACACGCGCGCTAAAGGTTATCTATTATATGCGAGACTAGAAGCGTTACCCGGATTTTTAAAAAAAGAAACCCTACTCTCTCTGTTCCCCCCCCCTTCCATATTTCGATAGGGAAAAAATACTTTGTGAGTTTATGGAGAAAAAAAAACACCCTTAGGTTTGATTTTTGAGAATAAACTACGAACCTGTTTTTGTGAATTTATGGAAAAAACAACAACCTTAGGTTTGATTTTTGAAAATAAACTACGAACCTGTTTTGTGAATTTATGGAAAAAACAACAACCTTAGGTTTGATTTTTGAGAATAAACTACGAACCTGTTTTTGTGAATTTATGGAAAACAACAACCTTAGGTTTGATTTTTGAGAATAAACTACGAACCTGTTTTTGTGAATTTATGGAGAAAAAAAAACAACCTTAGTTTTGTTTGATTTTTGAGAACAAACTACGAACCTGTTTTTGTGAATTTATGGAAAAAAAACAACCTTAGGTTTGATTTTTGAGAATAAACTACGAACTATTTTAAATCAGGTCTTCCTATGAACAATGTTTTTTGTTTTTCCTTCACTGGCAAGGATAAATAGGTCCTTATGGAGAATGTTTAGGTTATCTTATACACGTATGAGCACCTTAGCTCTATTCCCCCCCCCCCCCAATCACCCCTACTCAAATATTAACATTTCAAACGTAAATATGTATGTAATATTATGTTGAATTTGCTTTAATCTAAATTTAATATATTTTTATGAATATATTCACATTATGACATTGATATATGAAATATACTACAAACAAAATGCAATATTGTACTTTATAAAGTATCAAAAGAGAAAAAAATCCACTTCCAGGTATGGAACCACCCAGAGAAAAGTAGAATAAAATACATTTGCTGACTTGACTTTAATCTTATTTTACACAATAAGTATTATAATGTAAGCCTCACTCTTTTCACTTATCCTATTTTATGGCAGACGACATAATTTTATTTTATAGGCTAGGTGATCTGTTTGCTTTTTCACACACGACATTCTAATTCTGCATACATTTCTTTTTACGTGTGAGGTTAAATATATAACGTGTTAACAGATGTATAGTTAATAGTCTATACCTAAATAGGCCTATAATGCTATATTCTAAATTAAATGTTAACTCAAACTTACCAAAAAATTTCAAGTCTGTATAGAATTTATTCGTGTAATGTATATGTTAAAGATAAAATTACCGGTTCAGCTAGCAGATGATAGACGCTTATATCAACGAAAAATTGTCGTTTTGCACACCTTCACGTGCGAGAAACGTGACCTGCGCAGTGAACGCGGCGGACACACAAGCATGCAAGCAAACAAATTGAGAGATTTTGAGTTTTTTTTTATACGGATAATCAGCGAAAGTCGTTGAAAAGTAGAAAAGTTTAGCTGTAAATACAATTAGGATTTTAATGTTTATTAAGAAATATTTAACATCTGTTATTGGTGTATTTAATTATCTCCCCCTCCCATTTATCAAGATACGTTCGGTTTGTTTCATTTTTTGAATTTCGCGCAAACTACACGAGGGCTATCTGCTCTAGCCGTCCATAATTTAGCAGTGTAAGACTAGAGG